AGAGAGAGAGAGAGAGAGAGAGAGAGAGAGAGAGAGAGAGAGAGAGAGAGAGAGAGAGAGAGAGAGAGAGAGAGAGAGAGAGAGAGAGAGAGAGAGAGAGAGAGAGAGAGAGAGAGAGAGAGAGAGAGAGAGGGGGCGAGAGAGAGAGAGAGATGATTAGAATCGGTTTGAATTGATTATGAAATCGAAAACTTGATCAAATATAACTTTGTTTGATTGACAGTCTAAAGTTTCACATCCATGTAGTAATATATTTACTAGAACATCAGGTATTAGCTCAACAATAAGAATCGGACTGACATTTGGAGCAATTTCATTACATACCTGACGCAACATCTTAATACGGGATCCGTTATATATAGGGCAATATAAAAAGAAATGTTTCTCGTCTTCAGGAGAATGTATACACAAGTCACAAAATTTATTTACAGTTAAATTATAAGAAAATCTATGTTTGTTAAGGGCACTAAGTCCCATTCGTATTCTACAATGATTCACTTTGCCCTTTCCATGTCCATATGTATACAGAGATTGAGACAGAGGAGTCGTACTATTACACAAAGATTTTGAGAAAGATGCTAATGTAGAACTACAGCGAAAATGTACAGGCAGATTATTCCAGTCTCTTATTGACTTGGGAAAGAAAGATTGGTGGAAGAAGGATTTCCTAGATGTTATGGGAAGAATAGTATCAGAATTTCGAAAGCCATAATTTTGAGTGCGATGGTTAAGTAGGGGACATACAGATTTAAGATATGAAGGACAAAGATCATGCTTAATTTTATACAACATTTTTAGTCTACAATTTCTTCTTCGGTCACTAAGAGATTCCCATCCTAATTCATTTAACAGTTTAGTATATTTAGTTACCTTGTAACCACCAGTGTATATCAAAGTAACTATTATAATCCACAACAAATATACTAAAAGGATAAAGAAACGCAGGGTGAACTTTAAACCAGAAATTAAGTATGATATCGGGCTTCATTTAAAACGAAATTTTGTATACTTACAGATAAATTAAAGCTTAAAAATTTCCAAAGTCTGTATTTTGCATCTGACAATTGGTTTAGAGGTACTAACGATTAACTTGAATGGACACATAGGATTTTGAAATTGAAATTGAACTGAGTCATCAATATCTTGTGTGTCCGCCGTTTGCTGTGGTCACGGCCCTTATTCTTCTGGTCATAGAGTTCATGAGAGCATTAATCCGTCTTATGGGGATGTTGTCCCACTCTTCAATCAGAGCTCTGGTCAACTGCTCTCGAGTAGCAGGGGGTGGCTGGCGCTTTCGAACCTGTCTATCCAACTGGTCCCAAAGATGCTCGATAGGGGACAAATCAGGGCTATATGGCGGCCAATCTAGTGGTTGAATGTTGTTGTTGGCCAGAAAGACTTGGCAAATCCTTGCTACATGGGGCCATGCATTATCCTGCTGGAGGGTTAGATTATGCTGCTGTAAGAAAGGGATAACATGGGGTCGGAGGATCTCATCTCTATACTTAGGTGCTGTTAAATTGCCATCAATAACAGCCAATTGTGATTTTAACCCGTGTGAGATTCCTACCCACACCATTACTGAACCGCCCCCAAACCTATCCCTCTCTACAACGCAAGCGTCCGTAAAACGTTCGCCACGACGTCGGTAGACACGTGGACGGCCGTCAGATCGATAAAGACAGAATCGAGACTCGTCCGTGAAGAAAACTTGTCTCCACTGTCTCAGTGGAAACCGTCGTGGAGCATGTGCAGCGACCTAGGCCAAACGACGCTGGCGTCGAGCAGGGGTAAGGTGTGGACCTACGTAGGGGCGACGTGCTCTTACACCAACTTCTCGTAATCGATTCCTTACAGTTTTTGAACTTATAGGACGCCCATGATTTCCACTAAAGCTACACATGTCCATGGCCATACACTCGATGTTGTCATCACAAGAGAAAATAGCTCGAGTACCATCTGTCGTAGACCCGTGTCTCAGTGATGTCAAGGGAAACCCATCTGGTTATCACCTTGCCGTGAATACTACACTCAGTTGTGGTAAACCAGGTCGCATTAGAAGGGAGGTCAGTTTCCGGAGATATCGTGAAATTTCCGTACCAGATTTCATTAGAGATATTGAATCCTCTCACACACTTCAGTCACCTGTTGGTAGGGTAGACGATCTTGTCGAAGCATTCAATTCTGGTATAAATGACCTGATGGACAAACATGTTTTAAGTAACAAACTACATAGCAATAGTTTCGCGAAAAATACTCAAATGTTGTGAGATTTTGAAGCTATTGGGTTCTGGTGTGGCGGATCTGTTTTACATACGTTCGATATACGTTTCCTATCCCGTGATACACAATTATATCAGGTAGAAATAATTAAATAAAATGAAGTTGAAGGAGGTGAAGACCGAAATGTAATACCACAATTTACAAAATGTAATACCCGATATTAGTTCACTGTCTGATTTCGCTGGTATTCTTAAAATAGTGTATATCGAAATGAACAGATTTGAAACACCGCGTTAAACATTTCCCAAATGCATGTATCTAGAAGGCAGGCATGCGTTGTTACGAGAAACAAAGCTCCCGAAAATAGAGTTCACCTTATCCTTGCTATGAATGTGGTCGTGGTATGTCCGTTACGGTATACTGAGATATTGTGGGGTTTTTTTACACTCTTGTGGACCCTTTGAAATGCATGTTGACCTTGTCTTTCTTTATGGAATGTATGAATGAATTTCCCTGATTTTCTGTGCATGACGCCAAACTATATGAGATATACGATTCCAACAGGGCAGTGTTTTAATACATTTAATTAACGTTTAATTAAGTGCTGTAAATTGAATTCTGTCGATATGCTGTATGATTTAGAGTCCGTCAGTATGAATGTCAGGGTTATGTCGGTCCAATTGGTTGATGTAGACATATTTAATATAACCCTAAGAAATTTGCGATCATGACAGGTATTCGGTTTCAGTTAACACGCGTTGATTTTTCGGACAGTATAAGAAAGTCGGATTATAGACCCAAGTCCGACCGAAACGTTATAACGGTTTAAAAACATTCATTTCATCTAAATCTTTTTTATTGCAGGTAAATATTTGCGCGATAAGGTAATTTACAGTAAATGATATCTTATGTAAAAATAAGAGAGAGAGAGAGAGAGAGAGAGAGAGAGAGAGAGAGAGAGAGAGAGAGAGAGAGGCGTTGGGAGGGGGTTAACGTTTTTCATTTTACTGGCGCAGGACGATTTTCACTGAAGACAGATTTATATAGAAAAGTATATGTAAAACATAATTTAGCAGATTATTTTTATGTAGAGTGTAGTGCAAGGTTTTGATAAACATTAAACACTTTATTTGGCTTATTTGTGATATAGACACAGGCTTGTCAAACTTGATAGTGTTGTATATCGAGCGAAAGAAGGTCCCGTAGACAACATATATCATATCGTCCTAATTTATGACCCTTGCTCAAAAAATGTCCACAACTATGTATGTTTGTTGATAAACAACATAGATTACTGTAAAAGCTTATATTTTCATGAGACTCCATTTCGGTGGTTTTTCCAAAATATATTCACATTTGCATTTATTGGCACTTTCGTGGATGACTTTTGTTAATAAAACTCTATAAGCTATGTCAACTGTTTGTCATTTCTAGACATCTACAATGAACCTTCGTCGATTTACAGTATCCACGAAGAATCAAAGCATGGACTCTGCCGTCTGTCGCAGTAACAAACAGCTTATATCATATATATAAATATTATGTATTATATTATTTATATAATGTCTTAAAAGAAATTATATGACCAGGCTATTTTTACAAAATAGCAAAAGAATATTAACGTGAAATAAAATGTAACACTGAAATAAAACTTCTGGTTTTACTGTATACAGCATTCATTATTAGATTTTACCTTAATTTACGTGACAAAGACACCGATGGTTAACAATGGGCCTACGCTGTATATATAAAGGATTTCGTAAAACTTTCAATTTTGAATGAGATAGATTAAACATGATTTTTATTTCTGATGCCCGGTAAATCGTATGAATGAAAAAGTTAAAACTGGTGTCTGCCAATTTTTCAGACTGCATATCACTATTGAATTCATATTAACGTGACATGACATATTACATTAAATGAGTTATTGTACATAAATATTCCATGCGTGCATTTATTTAATAACACAGCTGCCATGGAATAAATTGTAAATAAAGAAGTTCCCAAAAGAGTAACAACTGCTATGTTTATCTAAATCGAGTTAGTTAATTTTCAAACGAAGGATAGACTTGAGCTTTAGTGTATAATTCTCAAGTAAGTACAACCTTTCCTCTCTGAATGGTTAGTCAAAGACTTCCCATCGATTGTTGTACAAATCACGTCACGGACGAAGGGAGACAACTTCAATTTCTCTGTACATGTAAACAATACGTTAAACTAGGTTCTCTGCCATTGAAGGCTCAAATACTCTCTCGCTCTTTTACTAATTTTATTTTGCCTCAATCGCCCAGAAGGTTGCCATCTTTAACGTTTCTAGCATCACAATACTGATGAGTCTTTGTATGACAAAAATATTACAAGGTGCAGTTGAATTCACCGACATGGAACATCTTAATTTCTGAATTTGTAATTGAAAGTTGGTATATACCTGTGAATTTTGTACTTCCGTGTCAATACACGGTATTATTAACCATTTTCCATTTTCCAGCAATTATGAACACAGAACCATATCATCCACCAACAAATTATGTATATAAATGAAACACAAATAAACACCAACACCTGAATAACAACTAAACAAATATTAGCAACACGTGTCTTGAAGAGTAAATTATATGGAAAAAGAAAGTAATGTTATTTGAATAAGTTAAACTGCTTAGTGGATTCCTGTTGATGGGTGATGGAACAAGATCCTCGTTGATATTTGGAACTAAATCAAACACACCAATTCTGCTTTCACAATTATAACAAAATATTTATCTCCAGATATGTGATCATCAACACCATCCAGGGGACCAGAATCCACCGTGCAGTTGAGGATCACTTGCCTCGCTGTCGTCTGGGAAATTGGCAGATACCATCTGTGTATGGTATTCTGCTAGCCTCTTACTTAATGCGTCCGCTAAACTCGTGTGGGTGAGCGAAATGTCGTGACGCTCATACGGATCATCTTAAACAAACAAACAAAAATCTATACTCAATTAAACTCCGTAAACGTGATTTCAAATTGTTAATTTGAAAAGAAGTGAAATAACAAGCAACCAGTTAAAACTTTTATGCTGAAAGGATCTCGACATAGCGATTTCGGTCCATGAACAAAGGCAAAAAACATGTTTATTTATTTCCAATATATCATTTTTGAAGTGTATATGTGAGGTAACTTCTTTTTGATATGTTTCGACTCAAGCTCATCCGTATTGTTTATGTAACCAAAACGAAATCATATTCGACGTAGAGACATGATAGGATAATGCAAACGAAAGATCGATTATAAGCAAAGATGAAAATGAAAAGAAATGGACAAAGAGACAAAGAAGTTGTCTACCACTGCACAACTTGTACCTAAATCAACATATCGAAAAGGCGTACGCAATTTAATTGCTGCCACCATCGCAGGATCGCAAAATTTGAGATCTAACAACTTTTCTTTTCCTACGTTTCACTTGATTCTGACTCATGTCTGGATATAATTGTGTTTCACCCCTGTGATGAAGGCTTTGGGTTATGTTCCCTGGACGAGACACACCACATTCTATACAGATGTTAGGCATTACTACATGCTTAACGTTCAGCATGCGTTAGCGTAACACCTGTTTTAATGTTGTCAGTATAATGTGACCAGGTGAGATATCCTACAGGAGGCCTTCGGCAGTATACTCCAGTGTGATAGCACTATAAAGCAGGCTTCAGGTACACAGTATAGCAAGGAGGTGTACTTGTACACATCGCACTATCAAAGCGAAGCATAGTCCCCTCACTCAAATACTCACTAAAATATATGTTCTAACCACGAAAGAAACAAAAAACAGAAAAACCTACCTTTTATGTTGAAAAGTTGTCTTTTATAACAACTTGCTTGTTCATTTGTTTCAATTTCTCCATTTTTCTGAAAGTGTTCTCGCTCCCTTTTATAAATATCTGAGTTTTCTGTTTCCGGTTCGTACCAATCCGGATACGGCCCCGGGTATCCTTCTATTAGCTTATAGTCACCGACTCTGGAACACCACGTCAGTCAAAAATACATAATAACTAGATTTCATTAATGAAAGAAAAATCTTTTCTGTAAGGGCATCTCCGACAGAGTCAGACATTTTGATAAATAGAGTAGCGAGTCTGCTGTCATCTCTAAAGACAATGACATCGACTCATTGCAAATGAAATTCATTGGTTTCAACAATCGTATGATGATTATTTTCATGTTTACAGTTCAGTATTAACAAGTGATCTTTCGTTCTCATACAAATGTAGCACTAGTTCTGGTTCGTATCCGTATTGGTTTAATGGTGAATAAACACAACCTCACTGAGTATTTCAGTGTTATCTAAAATACGTTAACATTTATACCTAATGCAAATCATTAGATTGAAGGGTATGTCTTTATATGATAAACATCATGTGTCAGACAAAAGTCTGTGGAGTGCGATGGTCAGAACGAGGTATCAATTTCATTATAGTTTCATCTCTTTAATAATATTCATTTAAAGCAGTCTTGCAAAAAGGGATTGAGTTATTGTGGGGAAAAAAGGCGAAAAAGAAAAAAAATTGTAATAACGAGTTTGGACTTCTGGATGATCATGTAGGATCCCTGTAAAAAACAATACACAAAAATATGTACCACGAATGTTTGTTATGTGTTTCTGGTTTCCTTATAACTACTTATGTATATCTGACAAATAGGTAATACATTGCATTGAAGTATCACTCGTTTTTACATGTTAAACATATTCGATCAGTACATGAAGCGTGACGAACACATGTGAATTATACAGTTCTTGTATCTTCAGATCATTAATAATGAACTTTTGTTTTACACACCAGTAACATTTACGTTTGGTTTATATACCCATAATTTCAATCTAAGTTATTTTACATGATTTTTGAAATAACGTGTATATATATATCAGTGATTTCTCCTCGGCCGATATAGATAACATGGATTCGTCCACTAATATGGTTAAATGGTACTACCTTCATATATCACATTTCTTGGTTGATATGAGCAGATATTCCTGAAGAAACTTCTGACGACCTACAAATTAGATCTGATCTGGTGCAAAGATCGTTTTACTTGGTATGGTTTTGTAGAATATATCAGGATTTGTAGGCGGATTACCTAATGGCGGCATGTCCGGTGATTGGTAGGCTACTATCGTCCAGATTGTAGATAAACTCAGTCCTCTTTGAAGGACACCCACGCCGTAGGTTCTCCCACTGGTCAATACCGTCAATACACGTTTCTACTCAAAATGAAAATAAAAAACAAGATCAAAAGGAATGATGATTATATGATACACTTGAAAACTGTGAGACTTTTGACAGTTTGCATCGACGAAAAATATTTAAATAAAGAATAAGTGATAAAAAGCTTTTTTCAAAAGTCACAGTTGCTCAATTTACGCATGTACATATTTGTAAAATGAAATACTTCTAGAAAGATGACATAAATAATAGCTAAGTTTCATATCTATTGACTTCAATTATCGAACTCTTAATTTAATTTCGGAGCAGTTGTTCGACAAAATCTTTTTAAAGACTTAAATTCAACCTGTCACAATTCAATTACCTGGCTTTCCACCGGCTGCTGATAGAATCGTGGGCATCCAATCAACGGCATGTATCATTCTATACGAACAGATTATAGACATAGATACACCAATCAAATTCAGTGGTGATTAGTATAGAAAAACAAAATGAATAAACCCTTCATATATTTTCTCAAATTACAGGACGTAAAAAGCCATTGCTGAGATGTGTGTTTCGATCGACATAATCTTTTTTAAAATACATGAATTTAAGAATGATCAAGAAACAACGTATTGAAAGGTATCATTTGATAGACAATCTAAATAAGTAATCTTATATGATTTTTTGATAACTAATGATAAATAACATTACATGTAAGATAATATTTTGAGCAAACAAGGCTTCATTTGTGTAAAAAAAATATCAACATTACAACATACTCGTAATCCAAACTCAAAATTCCATAACTATCGCTTCACTTGCGATTAATTTGTTTAAATAAACAATATTTATTGTCAAGTGAAGGCAGCCATGACTATTAAATGTATAAATTGAATTCTGTTATGGAAAACATGTGCACGTGAATAAATATAATACCTTTTAAAAAATTGTTTAGATATGCATTGCATAACAAGTTTGTTAAACCAAGTTCCCAATTATAAACTACAGTATACATCTGTTTCTGTCTTTGTGGTTTGTTTACCAATATCAGCAAAGAGAAATACAATCCTGCATTACCAACCATCACGTAACTACATTATAACTGTTCTTGTCAAGTTGTCTTTCTTGTTCGGTTTGTCAAAAAACTGGTCAATAATTGTACAGAATTTGTTTTCTTGTGCGTCTTCCTGTAACTAATTTGACAAGTTTCACATGTAATTAAAAAATTCTTTACCCGTCGTATGTGTATCCTGTCTTTTCTAGTCCAGCCCCAGAAATCAAAGCCACAGCTCTCGTTCCTCCCTCGTACACGGTAACTTTAGCGCCACGAAGGGGGTAATTGCTGGCATGAAATAGATGCGAGCCGCCATTCTAAAAGTATCAAAAGACCTGTCTAGATATGACGTAGATTAGATTATATTTGTCAAACAGATTCTACTGTAAAAGAACAACAAACTAACAAGATGTAATCTGGACCGGTGCTTTCGGCGTAGACAACACATAACGTGAAAGTCTATGTCAAAACATTGTAGACTGATGTCCTCAAATTAAAAATCGTGGTCGTGAAAAAAATACAAAATAGATATCAACATCATTAAAACATTGAAAGAACATTGATTTTGACCAATTCCCTACTGAACAAGATAAAATACACAGTAAAATCACCTTGGACAAATGTCTACATGGTCCAAAAATGACAACATTTTTAATCATGATTACGATTATTTTCCAACACCATACTTCTGCATACTTTCAGGTCGGAATGATAATAAACAGCAAAAACTTTAAAATACATTTCTAGGAATACTAACGTCGGAAGTGAAGATGAGGAGTGTGTCATCATACATTCCGTTATCCTTCAAGGCGGCCGTCACATCTCCTACCAGGTCGTCCAGAGCCTTCACCATACCTTTACAATTAACACGGAAAGTTTCTAATGAAATTAGTCTAGTTTCGTTATGTAAGGGATGCTAAATTGGACGATTTCATAATTGGTACGTTGTGAATATTGCTTCATGCGTGTCACGTCAAAAGGCATGGTTTAACGTATGGATTTCTTTTCATTTAATTAAAAAAAAACACGTTTCGTGTGTGTAAATCCATAATCACGCCTTAATGTCAATGGCAAAATATTTCAACCTAATAGATATAATAATCCAAATTAGGAAAGTTGGATGCACAATATCAAATTAATTAAAACTTGATTTTTTGAATAATTGAATAAGTGATAGCTGTTCATAACGGAAACATTATTTCTATAAATTAAATACTTTAAAATCATTCATTCTCATGGAGGTATTGTTTTCGTGGGTACTCTTTATCAACAAACTCTACGAAATGATATACACTGAAAGATTTACGTGAACTTTAGAATTAGTTGACGTTCTGAATAATCTCTATCCGCGAAAAACTGTGCCCACAACAATTGATCAATTCTCAGGTAAATTACGATATTGGATTCCTATGGAAATAACTGATTTTACAGCACTACAGTTGTTGTCTGTGTTGCCTTGATTAGCAATGAAGAAACGTCTTGTATATACCACAATATTTCCTTCTTCCTTCGTTCTTTATATGGTTACATTGGTCTTCATAGGCGGTCGGTACCTGTCGAATCGCAAATAATAAATGAAATCTTTACTAGAGATATTATGATGCGAAATCAATCAACATTCCAGATGTAGATGAGATGTATTTTCAGAAAATGTCGTTGTTTTGACATTAAAGTTACACATTTAACAAACAATAATATATTTTCCAATTTACAACGTTATTGAAATATCCATGGCCTTGATCATCCATGCTCAATGTTACTAATTTTATTGATATCTTACCTCTATCGGTTCATGAGGCGACTGGAAAGGAAAATACAGATAGAATGGCTTGTCTTTGTCGTGTTTTGAGATCACCTCTCTGGCACGTTCAGCATAGATGTACTGAAACCGACAGCATCAATACAATATCAAAAATAACTACAGACGAGTATAAAGTGATGCTATCTAAGACAGGTTACTCGTCTGCTGTGTTTTGAAAACCTTCCATTCAAACCCCACTGAAAACTACCAATAACTTATTTTTGTTATGACAATAGAACTTTTCAAAACATATGCCATTGTACAATGATACATGTGTCTATGTTACTTATACTATACCATAAATAGGTAATAAAAAACTGGATGTCAAACAGAAACAGCATTAACGTAGATATATTTACACAGAATCAGTATTTACAGGTATTGATAAAGTCTAAATGGCTTACTGTGGGATATGTCTCGGGAACAAGATCTTAATAAGCCTCGTGGTGACTTGATGATCGCAGGCATTTTTACCTCTATTACATTACAAACACGAAATTGATGCTGATACAATGTAGGTACAGAAATAGTAATAGAAGAACACAGTTTGACTAAATAGTAACAAGGCAACACAGATTGACTAAATAATAATAAGGGAAAACAGCTTGACTCAATAGTAACAGGGGAACATAGTTTGACTCAATAGTAACAGGGGGACAGAGTTTGACTCAAAAGTAACAGGGGAACACAGTTTGACTCAATTGTAACAAGGGAACACAGTTTGACTCAATAGTAACAGGGGAACATAGTTTGACTCAATAGTAACAGGGGACCATAGTTTGACTCAATAGTAACAAGGGAACACAGTTTGACTCAATAGTAACATGGGAACATATTTTGACTAAGACCGATTCTATCTCAATATTTTACAATGTCATTGTATAACACAATGACCTAATTTTTCTAGAGAATGTTTCTAGGAAAATCCATCACTGACATTCAACAATGAAAATAAGTCTTACAGTTGAATATTTTGTCCTGTCTGGTAGAATTGGCTCTTCCCCATCTCTGAAGTCATGTCCTCCAACTTCGGAAAGAGAGACAATAGCTGAACTACATCAATCGTATAGATTAAAATTGATAAACTGTTAATACATATACACAAGCTGTTATCTTTAGGATACTTGTAAAGGATTTTTCCTTCATTATTAATCAAAAAGAAGAAGAGAATAAAATGTTGACAATACAATATATAATATCATTACTGATACACAATGAGATTAGAATCAGTTATATAAAGCATTTTATTTATATCAGTAAATTTGTTGATAATACCTATTGATCGGTTCCTGTGTTGAAGTAATAAAGTTGTTTATATTGTTTGTATAACAGCTTGTTTAACGATATATTCTGGTGTATATCTATACAAATTATTGATTCTTTATTAGGTTGCTACAAAAATCTTTCAACCCTTAAAAACGATATTCACCGAGGCCGTATCGCTTTAGCGGGTTGACAAGTCCTGGTATCAACCTAATAATGAGTCAATAATAGTATAATATTACAGTTTGTTGATGAAAAGCAACACACCTGTTTCACACGTCCACATATCAGTTGTATGTGTCACATGTATATACTGCTAGACGAAGTCAACAGAGGTATAAAAGAATAAATTCCAAGAGAGAATATGTATTCGTTTCTTTACTTTTACACAGTACTAGTCAATGCAATGAGCTATCTTGGTAGCCATTCTGTGTTACGGCTGTGGCCCTCACAATTATCTTGGTAGCCATTCTGTGTTACGGCTGTGGCCCTCACAATTATCTTGGTAGCCATTCTGTGTTACGGCTGTGGCCCTCACAATTATCTTGGTAGCCATTCTGTGTTACGGCTGTGGCCCTCACAATTATCTTGGTAGCCATTCTATCATACGGCTGTGGCCCTCACAATTATCTTGGTAGCCATTCTGTGTTACGGCTGTGGTCCTCACAATTATCTTGGTAGCCATTTTGTGTTACGGCTGTGGCCCTCACAATTATCTTGGTAGCCATTCTGTGTTACGGCTGTGGACCTCACAATTATCTTGGTAGCCATTCTGTGTTACGGCTGTGGCCCTCACAATGTGGCCCTCACAATTATCTTGGTAGCCATTCTGTGTTACGGCTGTGGACCTCACAATTATCTTGGTAGCCATTCTGTGTTACGGCTGTGGCCCTCACAATTATCTTTGTAGCCATTTTATGTTACGGCTGTGGCCCTCACAATTATCTTGGTAGCCATTCTGTGTTACGGCTGTGGCCCTCACAATTATCTTGGTAGCCATTCTGTGTTACGGCTGTGGACCTCACAATTATCTTGGTAGCCATTCTGTGTTACGGCTGTGGCCCTCACAACATCTTGGTAGCCATTCTTCATACGGCTGTGGCCCTCACAATTATCTTGGTAGCCATTCTGTGTTACGGCTGTGGTCCTCACAATTATGGTATTTTGTGTTACGGCTGTGGCCCTCACAATTATCTTGGTAGCCATTCTGTGTTACGGCTGTGGACCTCACAATTATCTTGGTAGCCATTCTGTGTTACGGCTGTGGCCCTCACAATTATCTTGGTAGCCATTCTGTGTTACGGCTGTGGACCTCACAATTATCTTGGTAGCCATTCTGTGTTACGGCTGTGGCCCTCACAATTATCTTTGTAGCCATTTTATGTTACGGCTGTGGCCCTCACAATTATCTTGGTAGCCATTCTGTGTTACGGCTGTGGCCCTCACAATTATCTTGGTAGCCATTCTGTGTTACGGCTGTGGCCCTCACAATTATCTTGGTAGCCATTCTGTGTTACGGCTGTGGCCCTCACAATTATCTTGGTAGCCATTCTGTGTTACGGCTGTGGCCCTCACAATTATCTTGGTAGCCATTCTGTGTTACGGCTGTGGCCCTCACAATTATCTTGGTAGCCATTCTGTGTTACGGCTGTGGCCCTCACAATTATCTTGGTAGCCATTCTGTGTTACGGCTGTGGCTCTCACAATTATCTTGGTAGCCATTCTATCATACGGCTGTGGCCCTCACAATTATCTTGGTAGCCATTCTGTGTTACGGCTGTGGCCCTCACAATTATCTTGGTAGCCATTCTGTGTTACGGCTGTGGTCCTCACAATTATCTTGGTAGCCATTCTGTGTTACGGCTGTGGCCCTCACAATTATCTTGGTAGCCATTCTGTGTTACGGCTGTGGCCCTCACAATTATCTTGGTAGCCATTCTGTGTTACGGCTGTGGTCCTCACAATTATCTTTGTAGCCATTCTGTGTTACGGCTGTGGCCCTCACAATTATCTTTGTAGCCATTTTATGTTACGGCTGTGGCCCTCACAATTATCTTGGTAGCCATTCTGTGTTACGGCTGTGGCCCTCACAATTATCTTTGTAGCCATTCTGTGTTACGGCTGTGGCCCTCACAATTATCTTGGTAGCCATTCTGTGTTACGGCTGTGGCCCTCACAATTATCTTGGTAGCCATTCTGTGTTACGGCTGTGGCCCTCACAATTATCTTGGTAGCCATTCTGTGTTACGGCTGGATTTACGCTATCGTATAAAATGGGGTTAAATATTGTTCTAGATATGATACTGTATAATTGAAAGACGTGATGCTGTCAGTTTTTCTATGAAATAAAATATTCAATGGGATCATTTGATATGACATGCCTACAGCCATTATATCGGCTATAAGTACATTCAGGTAACGATTTTATCAGTCATTATAGTATTTACGGTAAAATCCTAATTTTTGAGGGAATTTATTTTCAATGAGACCGAGGGTACTATCTAAATCCACTAACAGTTTAATAGCATTTTCTGTAAAATCATAAATATTCGTGTACTCTATTTTCATTGAGTCCGTGAGAACTCTAACTGCATTTTTATGATAGGTAGAAGATTTATCGAGATTTATTTATCCACAAAATGAATCGTCCCCGCAAAAGTGATTAAAATTCACGAAAATTGTGCACCATGAAAATCTTACATGATTTACACTTAAACCTCTCCAGGAAATAACTCAGAAAACACTATATATCTTGTAACATATTTACTTTTATTTATAAGTCTGTAGAGAATGTGTATTATACAATCAAGTACAAAATATACTAAGTGACGAAATTGACGTATAATGAAAGTGCCGAAGAACACACAATGGATGTATAAGGTTAGGAAAAGTTGATAGAACTACCAAAAGTACTATACTTACAAACAGACCTGTTGTAGTAATCCTCTCTCCCGTTATAAAAGCCATAAAACGTGTCGAATCCCCTGTAAGTTGGGGTGCATTCCCACTTACAGAATCCCAGGTGCCATCTATTGATACAGGAAATATGTCACAACTATTTAAAAAAATTTCCTTTTCTAAAGACGAAAGTGCACAAAATCAAATGTAGATAGCATGTAATTTAATTGTAAACAGTAAACGGCATCCTAACTGCAGGTGTAAATTAGTCAAGAGAGCGATTAACACAAGAACCTAGAAAACACTTTTCTTTCCAGTCTTTTGCTTTACCCTCGGACAGTCTAAATATATATTCAACGTGTCATGAAAGCACCTTATCAATTTCAACGTTTAAAATCATAAATTTCCTTGGTCATATACATGTTGAAGATTACTGTTAAAATTAACATCTTTGGGAGATGATATTTTGATCTATTTTAGGATACATCCCGTTGGCATCAAAATTATGAAAAGCACGGAATTCATTGAGTTCTGGTGCTAATGTACCTTCCCGTCTTGCTTTTTACTTTTATTTCTATCACATTTGAGTTTCCTTAGTCGCCTCCAAGGCTTCAAAATTTAAAAGGTGTTGTTCGCTTGTTGGTCTTTTGTACAATATTTCAGCAAAAAAGCAAAATTTGAAGTAAAAAGATGTATAACCATCGCGAATGAATCATGGAAATTTTGTTAATACCTACTTTCCAATGATATGTGTTGCATATCCAAGTTTCTTGAGATATTCCGGCAGAAACGGTATACCAACTGGCGAACATGCCGCCTGTTTATGCTTAATGACTAAATGCTGTAAACAAACATAAATAAATAACTTATGTTATATGTTATGTTTCTCCCTCACACCTTTATTCTCTCCACTTCTTCACATTAATATCTCTGTCATTTTCATACGTTTTCTATCTCATCATAACTGACCTTGACTTAGCGTCTCATAACTCTTCTAAATCACGTTCACACAAATAACACATACATAACAATTAAAAGTCAGAGCCCTGGAGAGATGAATACAGTTTGATTGGAATGGATCATTAGAAAGCAAGAGACAATAGTTAGGTGGTCAGGTACTTTGATTCAGTTGAATGATAGGGAACAGATGAGACGAGTAAAAAGCAGTTTATTTATGATTCCACCAGCAACAGCACCTATTTTACCACTAACCATAGTCAGATGGACGGGACTTTAAACGGTGGCCCTTGTGGGGATTTCCCTACTCGCACGATTAAGATCCTTTTGTGTTATTTCGAAAAACAGGTGGTGGGATAACGGCGATCATGATATATGGGGAATAGGGTTCATATGAAAATCTTTTATTGAGGAATTCGTCCGACATATACTTGGATGGCAGGATAAGGCACCATTAAGCCAATGAGGCGTCTTCAAAAAGTACTCTAAATTCAGACATACATACAGACGGCTCCACCCCCAGCAGAGGGGGATGCAGGTCGCGTCCTCACGTCAAAAACACACTTCAGGAAGTAGAGATTTAACCGTAAAAATGTTTCGTCGTCAATACACTCAAATTGTTATGTTTATCGAGTTACATGCACGTTCGTATTTATTTTACCTGGCTGACGTTATTGACATTAGCATCGCTGTTATCTCCCCTTGCCGAACTCTTTTTGTTTTCACTAGTGTTTATTTACATTGCCAGCCAGTCCGACTTGAGATACAGTTTGATGTTATGGCCGCGAAAAGCTTCCATAAAACAAATATACTAGTTTTCCAGCACCAGTGGTTCCTACTGACTAGCTAACGGTGGCTGTGTTTGTTTTCATTTTCATCCGCATCGTTACTCAGAAGAAATAGTGATAGGGTAGAAAGATACGTTGACACAAAGTGGTGTGGAAAGAAAAAAGAAGAGTGTGGTGAGAGAAAGAGAAGGTTGAGAAAACAATGAGAGTATGTAAGTTATAGTGCTGAGTCCGTCAATACTGGACAAATGGTTAACTTTACAACCTCTGTACTTCACACAGGACAAATGGTTAACTTTACAACCTCTGTACTCACACAGGACAAATGTGTTTTTACAACCTCTGTACATTTTCATGGTTAACTTTACAACCTCTGTACTCACACAGAAATACCTTATTCCACAAGATGGTTAACTTTACAACCTCTGTACTCCACACAGGACAAATGGTTAACTTTACAACCTCTGTAGGTTCACACAGGACAAATGGTTAAGTATGTAAACCTGCTGTACCGTCACAGGACAAATGGTTAACTTTACAGTACCTCTGTACCTCACACAGGACAAATGGTGAACTTTACAACTTTTGTATTCCACACAGGACAAATGGTTAACTTTACAACCTCTGTATTCACACAGGACAAATGTAAATGGTTAACTTTACAACCTCTGTACTCACACAGGACAAATTTACAACCTTACTCCACACAGGACAAAACCTTTGTACCTCACACAGGACAAATGGTTAACTTTACAACCTCTGTACCTCACACAGGACAAATGGTTAACTTTACAACCTTTGTACTCCACACAGGACAAATGGTTAACTTTACAACCTCTGTACCTCACACAAGACAAATGGTTAACTTTACAACCTTTGTACTCCACACAGGACAAATGGTTAACTTTACAACCTCTGTACCTCACACAGGACAAATGGTTAACTTTACAACCTCTGTACTCCACACAGGACAAATGGTTAACTTTACAACCTCTGTACTTCACACAGGACAGATGGTTAACTTTACAACCTCTGTACTTCACACAGGACAGATGGTTAACTTTACAACCTCTGTACCTCACACAGGACAAATGGTTAACTTTACAACCTTTGTATTCCACACAGGACAAATGGTTAACTTTACAACCTCTGTACTCCACACACACAACCTCTGTACTCACACAAATGGTTAACTTTACAACCTCTGTACTCACACACAGGACAAATCACACAGGTTAACTTTCACACAGGACAAATGGTTAACTTTACAACCTCTGTACTCCACACAGAACAAATGGTTAACTTTACAACCTCTGTACTTCACACAGGACAAATGGTTAACTTTACAACCTCTGTACCTCACACAGGACAAATGGTTAACTTTACAACCTCTGTACTCCACACAGGACAAATGGTTAACTTTGCAACCTCTGTACCTCACACAGGACAAATGGTTAACTTTACAACCTCTGTACTCCACACAGGACAAATGGTTAACTTTACAACCTCTGTACTCCACACAGGACAAATAGTTAACTTTACAACCTCTGTACTTCACCACAACCTCTGTACTTCACACAGGACAGATGGTTAACTTTACAACCTCTGTACCTCACACAGGACAAATGGTTACAACTGTACTTGCAACCTCTGTACCTCACACAGGACAAATGGTTAACTTTACAACCTTTGTACTCACACAGGACAAATGGTTAACTTTACAACCTCTGTACACACAGGACAAATACAACCTCTGTACTCCACACAGGACAAATGGTTAACTTTACAACCTCTGTACCTCACACAGGACAGATGGTTAACTTTACAACCTCTGTACTTCACACAGGACAGATGGTTACCTTGCAACCTCTGTACTTCACACAGGACAGATGGTTAACTTTACAACCTCTGTACCTCACACAGGACAAATGGTTAACTTTACAACCTCTGTACTCCACACAGGACAAATGGTTAACTTTACAACCTCTGTACCTCACACAAGACAAATGGTTAACTTTACAACCTTTGTACTCCACACAGGACAAATGGTTAACTTTACAACCTCTGTACTTCACACAGGACAGATGGTTAACTTTACAACCTCTGTACTTCACACAGGACAAATGGTTAACTTTACAACCTCTGTACTCCACACAGGACAAATGGTTAACTTTACAACCTCTGTACTCCACACAGGACAAATAGTTAACTTTACAACCTCTGTACTTCACACAGGACAAATAGTTAACTTTACAACCTCTGTACTTCAAACAGAACAAATGGTTAACTTTACAACCTCTGTACTCCACACAGGACAAATGGTTAACTTTGCAACCTCTGTACCTCACACAGGACAAATGGTTAACTTTACAACCTCTGTACTCCACACAGGACAAATGGTTAACTTTGCAACCTCTGTACCTCACACAGGACAAATGGTTAACTTTACAACCTCTGTACTCCACACAGGACAAATGGTTAACTTTGCAACCTCTGTACCTCACACAGGACAAATGGTTAACTTTACAACCTCTGTACCTCACACAGGACAAATGGTTAACTTTACAACCTCTGTACTCCACACAGGACAAATGGTTAACTTTACAACCTCTGTACCTCACACAGGACAAATGGTTAACTTTACAACCTCTGTACCTCACACAGGACAAATGGTTAACTTTACCTTGCAACCTCTTTACTTCACACAGGAAAGATGGTTAACTTTACAACCTATGTACAACACACAGGACAAATGGTTAACTTTACAACCTCTGTACCTCACACAGGACAAATGGTTAACTTTACAACCTCTGTACTCCACACAGGACAAATGGTTAACTTTACAACCTCTGTACCTCACACAGGACAGATGGTTAACTTTACAACCTCTGTACCTCACACAGGACAAATGGTTAACTTTGCAATCTCTGTACCTCACACAGGACAAATGGTTAACTTTACAACCTCTGTACTCCACACAGAACAAATGGTTAACTTTACAACCTCTGTACTTCACACAGGACAAATGGTTAACTTTACAACCTCTGTACTCCACACAGGACAAATGGTTAACTTTACAACCTCTGTACCTCACACAAGACAAATGGTTAACTTTACAACCTTTGTACTCCACACAGGACAAATGGTTAACTTTACAACCTCTGTACCTCACACAGGACAAATGGTTAACTTTACAACCTCTGTACCTCACACAGGACAAATGGTTAACTTTACAACCTCTGTACCTCACACACAGGACACCTCTGTACCTCACACAGGACAGATGGTTAACTTTACAACCTCTGTACCTCACACAGGACAGATGGTTAACTTTACAACCTCTGTACTTCACACAGGACAGATGGTTAACTTTACAACCTCTGTACTTCACACAGGACAGATGGTTACCTTGCAACCTCTGTACTTCACACAGGACAGATGGTTAACTTTACAACCTCTGTACCTCACACAGGACAAATGGTTACCTTGCAACCTCTGTACCTCACACAGGACAAATGGTGAACTTTACAACCTTTGTATTCCACACAGGACAAATGGTTAACTTTACAACCTCTGTACTCCACACAGGACAAATAGTTAACTTTACAACCTCTGTACTTCACACAGGACAAATGGTTAACTTTACAACCTCTGTACTTCACACAGGACAGATGGTTAACTTTACAACCTCTGTACCTCACACAGGACAAATGGTTAACTTTACAACCTCTGTACCTCACACAGGACAGATGGTTAACTTTACAACCTCTGTACCTCACACAGGACAGATGGTTAACTTTACAACCTCTGTACCTCACACAGGACAGATGGTTAACTTTACAACCTCTGTACCTCACACAGGACAAATGGTTAACTTTACAATCTCTGTACTTCACACAGGACAGATGGTTAACTTTACAACCTCTGTACCTCACACAGAACAAATGGTTAACTTTACAACCTCTGTACCTCACACAGGACAAATGGTTAACTTTACAACCTCTGTACCTCACACAGGACAAATGGTTAACTTTGCAACCTCTGTACCTCACACAGGACAAATGGTTAACTTTGCAACCTCTGTACCTCACACAGGACAAATGGTTAACTTTACAACCTCTGTACCTCACACAGGACAAATGGTTAACTTTACAACCTCTGTACCTCACACAGGACAAATAGTTAACTTTACAACCTCTGTACTTCAAACAGAACAAATGGTTAACTTTACAACCTCTGTACCTCACACAGGACAAATGGTTAACTTTACAACCTCTGTACTTCACACAGGACAAATAGTATAATCAACGATCTGCTGTGAGTAATCTCGTCACAGAATAGTAGATTAAAATCCAGATCCTCATGCACACTTCTTTATTCTCCACATCGGAGAGTGGAAAGGTCTCTCTGTTGTCGACATGTTGTAACGAAATGACTTAATGCACAAATAGGAGTTTGCGATTCATTTCGACATCTTTCATACAACTTATAGATTCTGTGGCGGTATTTTGATTGGTTAATTTAAAGGTCACAAGAACATGACCCCTTATGGGGTGTTGTCAGTTCCTATGCGGAGAGTAACTGGGTGAGAATAAGGACTAGGGTTTTAATAGATTGCTGTGATCCGATTATTCTAGTGCATCCTCTTGTAACCCGGTGACAACATTATAGTAAACACGCATGCGCCCGCTATTTTACCAGGATGGTTGGCATCGTCGATTCTATTTACAGTCACCCATTAGTGTTACCATGGTTACAGAAGATGGCGCGATATCAATTGATGCAACCCAGGACCATATGTTTTCTTTATAGTTACAACATCACATATAAAGGTGATGTATAACTTTCGGTATTTGAACAGATTCCGGTTGCAATATATAGTGTGATCTGACATTGCTATGCATATCTTTATGTGATTTTTATTTTTTTTATTTATGGACAAAATAAATCATTTGAATTATACGATATTATTGATTTTTCATATTCATATAACAATAGTAACTGTCGGCACTTTGTCGGAAAAATCAAACTAACTCTCTGTAAAATCTTACTCTCTATTCCCTCCCGAATGAGATTCAATATATGTGACAGATTCTTTTTTCATATGTCGTGTAGATATCAAGAAACATAAGGATAAATGTGCTACTGATGTAAAATAAATAAAGTTTTTAATACGACATAATATATCATTTAAGATTCATATATATGTATATACATATATTTATATACTGCCGGCTGGTGAAGAGGCAGTAGGCAATTGAGTGTAACAGAGCATTAAACATTCCGGGATCTCTATTTCAGCATTGTTGTCTGATCTCACTTATTCAGACTGAAAATGTTTAAATAGAAGCAATTTGTAAAATATGTTGCCTAGTGAGGCACGTGATCCTCATATGTTTCAGTGTGGATGGAAAAGAAATGTTAATTCCTCGAGAAAAACCTTCATATTAAGTGATCGAAGGTTATCTATGTAACAAGATTACAATAGTGAGTGGAATTACAATACCAGGTTATCTACTTATGCATGTGTACGAGTGGTTTGTTTCGCCTTGTCCGATCTTCATATATGACCTTAGTACAACTTTCATAAATAAACATAAATCTAGTTTTACCGTTAAATTAAAGCTGGAGGATGTAGAACCGGCTAAGTTAACCTTACGGGGATCTATTCATTTTTTCTTTGTTGAACAGTAGAACCAAGGTCTTCGCTATCTACGAAAATTAGATAATAGACAATATTAAATCTGATACGGTGTCCATGTTGTCTAGTTGGCTGTACTTTTACGTCACTTACTGCATTGCTTGCCTTTAAGAAGACTGGATTACAACCTGTCTTATTTACAACTTTTGTCCGCTCGAGTGCGCGCGTTGAATGTCTATTGTAATCAAGCGGAAAGTGGAAAAACATTACGGCAAGCAATCGGGTCTATCTGCGGAGGTATGACTTAACATGTGACCTGGTAGTAATGTTTGATGTTGGCTTGGAGGAAACAAGTATGTTAAATAACCATAGTCTGTACTCACGGTGAACATACAGGCTGTACATAGGACTGGTTCAGTATAACTCCCTCGGATGCCAGCTTGTCGATATTGGGTGTGATCATATCGGGGTTGTGAAAGCCCACATCATTCCAACCTTTAAGGACAGAGAATATTAAGGATATGCTTGTTTCAGTAAATTGATGATGTATTCAAATTATTGATTGTTAGAATGATTATTCGGACAAACTATGTGGTACTACTGTTTACTATCAAAAACATTATCTGTGTTCGTTTAATTCAAGGATTCATATGTCAGCGAAATGATAAACACTTTAAAACAGGCATAGAAGGTTTACTACTAGGGAATTCATGAATACTATTCAGGAAATTAGACACCGAAGAATATTTAAAAAAAAAAAACAAGAGGCCCATGGGCGTTAACTGTCATCGGAGGCCTTCATGTCTTAGGACAGTTTTAAAACTTGTCCATCAGTACCAGCATTGGGGCAGACAGAAGAAAACTGATATTTTTATCGTTTCTAAGGTTGAAGGTTTTAATTTCAATAAAACGGAACTGATAACACTCTCTGGGCCTTGTGATTATTGAGAAGTTATTTAAAGATTTTGACATATTTGGTACACGTGATCTTGAAAGCGGATGAAAGTTAAAATTATGAGGAATCTTGGTAGCCCTGTATGTCCACTATCAGCGCCCTGGGCCTTAAAATTATTGAGAAGAAGACGTTTAAAGATTTCAGCACATTTTACCCCTGTAACCTTGAAAGTGTGTCAAGTTTATTCCTTTGTATAAACTTGGTTATCCTTCATTCCACCACTTTACAGGTCCAATATTAGCACTCTGGAGCATTTGGTTATTGAGAGGGAGGTGTTTAAATATTTCGACATAATTGACATTTGTGACATTGAAAGTGGGTCAAGGTCAACTATTTATACAAACACGGTATCCCTTCATCCTAGCCTGCTACGGACCCAATATCAGCAATCTGGGCCTTTTGGAAGAAATCGAAAACGTCCACTGTTTACGACGGACAACCCACGACGCCGGACAAGAAGATGGAAATAACGCAGTGGTACCAAGATCTACCACACAATGTGGCTACCTTTTCTGATACAAAGGATCTTACTGGACTCGACGAATTAATATCAAAGCATTTGCACGAATAAGACTGAAGAACAGCGTTTTTTTTTTCAGATATATATGTATATGTGTGATAGATATTTCTTAAACAAAAGCAATTCTTTGAGTAGAGGTTTTCGATGGCTTCCCTTAGCAAGAATGTGTAACAGTTCGTACAAATAAATATACATGTCCATGAACAGTGAAGTTCAACAACAGGCGCTGGACACATTCTGTAAGGTGTCTTCCATGACGTCAGTGACAAGGTTCACGGGCCATTGTTTCATCAACCTGTATAACCTTACTTAAATCTTTTAATGTCACGTTTTGGTTTTGATGGTGTTCGTGAGAAAATAAATAAGATCGAAATTCGGACTCACGAGAGTAAAGGGGATGACCCTTTATATGTATCATATCAACAGTACAGATGAGGTGATTGCCTCTCAAACCCTGCGGAAGCGACGGGAAAGCGGAAGGGATTAAAACTATCTCGCGATCCAGCGGGAGCGCTGTCGCGGGAAGATCGCTCCAGCAGCGATGACAGGCGATGAGGTTTATAGACAGCCTTCTTTTTACCTGGGCGATGTCGATTTATATTTTGCATATAATTTGTTCAAACACGTACACACCGTACCGTTCTGATATAAAATATAGCTTCATTTTATGTATACGCATACAGTATACCGTATTTTTTATATTTGTACGCACCGACAAATTCACACAGAAACGATAGTTGGAATATGTCGCAAATATGATTATCATCGAACTATCCACTTTACATTTCAAGGACGCACTGGAGCATGCCATTATGATTAAATTCTACAACTTCGATGTCGATCACCTGTCCCAACAGCAAAGATGGCCACTGTCTTTTTACATAACCATTATTTTAGATTTATCGATATTTGCGTCTGGCGATTAAGTTTGCTAAAAAGTATCATAATGTTTTGAGCGCTGAACTACATCGAAAATATTGCTTGGCACCAAGCAATATGACGTTACCCGGATGTTAATACATTTCGATTCCCGGACGTACGATCAAAACCGATTGTCAAATACACGTTTTGGTAAATGATATTGAAAACAACATAATACATCTTTTCGTCACTCTGTGATCGTCGGTGATGTAAGGGATGTATCCCCCAGGGTCGTGACCCAATCGGGAAAATAAAGCAGATTCTTTAAAATCTGTTCTTTCGCTGAAATGACTCAAATTGGACCAAATTCGCTCTGAAGCAACTTAGAAGAGAATTTATTTTTGTTTAAACAGTGACCCGATCCGTCCCCCTTGGTGCAGAGGGGCGACGACTACTTGTGAAAATCGATGCAATGTACAAGTGTTTTAAATATTTTCCTTCAGTTTAAATACATTAATTGCAATTAAACCTGATGAGTGATACAGGCCCTTTAGGCCTTTTTTCAGATGTAATTTAGTTTTGACATGCCCTGGCTCGCCACATTTTCACTTTAACATATTGATACAGTCTTACCGGTAAATAGTATTTAATTACTTGGTCGTCAAATGTACAGGGTTTCAATACAAATCTTTGATAAGACACGGTAGAACAGGATGATTAATAAAACTACACCGAACAGTTGTTTCGTCTGTCTAGGATCTACATCTATAACGTCTAGTTGTTTCGTCCTTTGAGGACTCGTTAGTGATACTACATCGTACAGTTGTTTCGTCATTCTAGGATTCGTCAGTTAGTCTACATCATACACCTGTTTCGTCCTTTGAGGACTCGTCAGTTATACTACATCATACAGCTGTTTCATCCTTTTAGGATTCGTCAGTTATACTACAACATACAGCTGTTTCGTCCTTCTATGATTCGTCAGTTATACTACAACATTCAGCTGTTTCGTCCTTCTATGATTCGTCAGTTATACTACAACATACAGCTGTTTCGTCCTTCTATGATTCGTCAGTTATACTACAACATTCAGCTGTTTCGTCCTTCTAAGATTCGTCAGTTATACTACATTATACAGTTGTTTCGTCCTTTAAGGGTTTGTTAATTATGGTCATGGACGAAAGTGTTGAAATCGAAGAAGTGACGGAAAAAATTAGAAAATTGGCTGAACAAATGACAAAATTTAGGTGGGCAGGTGCATTAATATCATAATTATATAGCTTATAGAAAATTTAGGTATCGGATGATTTCGAAAGATGTCAAAGATATTTTATATTCTGAACCGTTTCATTTTTCAAAAGACAGAAGACAAAAAAGGCCTAAAATTTAAGTGCAACACAAGACTTTCAGTGTAAAACTAGAGTTTTTACTGTAGAACACAGGTATTTAATATCATAAGAAAGCTGATACTTCCATTCAGTATAATCACCTAGTATATAGAATAAAGTGGTGTATAGTGATATCGGTGTCTAACATTTAACAGACATACAACAGTACTCACCATAATCATCGGCGACCATAAACACGATGTGCGGTCTCTTGGCTTCAATACAAACTGAGAAGAAAGTCAATATAGAGATACAACAGACCTTCGTCGTGTCGTGTAAAGACAGCACCAGGGCAGCCATCTTTATCGTGTATATTTATCTTCCTTTTTCAGTGTTTCATGTGTAACCACTTCATTGACGTGTACGTGTACCCACATATGTCGTCCTTTGTCACACATGTGTGGAGTAGTAGCACACAAATACACTACTGGCCGTTCACACGGTTAGAATTACTTATGTCATGTGGAGTCGAGGTGTGTAGAAATGTATTTTAAAGCTTTTGAATCTACGGCAGCGCAGACGTGACAGGTAGATTACTGGTATATGTATTGTGTAATTTTCACTAAATACATTTTTAAACCGAACAAACAAAAGTCATTGTTTTCATTTTTTTTTTATTTTCGTCTACATTGTATGTTTATTGCAGTATAACTACACTGTATGTTTATTGCAGTATAACTACATTGTATGTTTATTGCAGTATAACTACATTGTATGTTTATTGCAGTATAACTACACTGTATGTTTATTGCAGTATAACTACATTGTATGTTTATTGCAGTATAACTACACATCGATGAACTCGGGTATATACAAATGTATGTTGAACATTTAAGATTTTCTTTCCGATTTACGGATCAAATCATTTTCTTTTCAAGTTCCATATGTTTTCTCTATCTGAAAGCGTAAATGTATGTTATTGGAAAATATACAATAATAATTTAGTAAATGCTTAAAAGTCGAGTTACAGAAGTAGTATGTAGTTTGTTGACTTCTTTTAGTTTTTGTAACATTTTGTAAACATTTCCAAATCGTTACATATATAGATATTATTTGTCTGTGTCTCAAAGTGTTGTGATTACACGATAAATGGTGTTTTGATATCCTGTTGAAACAAGTCACGGAATTAAAACAGAATCTTTATACCAGTATGATATAAAAGAAAGTCCGAAATTAGCATATTTCTGTTATTTATATATATTATTCAAACCTTACAGAGAACACCGAGAAGAAATGTGTATAGTACTATTTCACATTCAATATATTACAATGGATTCTATAAAATGTCGAGCGTTTTCCCAAACACGAGGAAAAAGAAAGTTGAATTTCAATATTTGGGGAAAAAAATTAATTCCGTTGCGTTCCTTTGTTAAAATCTATGCAAATATGATGGATTTTGATTTCAATATAATGTAGATGGTACATTTCTTATGTATAACACACTGTCACACTTCTGTTAGGAAAAAAACCCAGAATTTTATTTTATTAAAAGTAAGATTTCAGCATAAGAACAAACATGTATACATCTCTAATCGTGTGGTTCTGATTTATATATCAGTATAAAGAAAACGTGATACATGTATGGTGGAGAAGTTGGCTGTTTTTAACACGTGAGATACGTCTCTTCGAATTTTCTCTGTCATTTTCTCCGTCAAATGGTAATGGAAGTCTTTAGTCAAACATGTAAGAATTTTTGAACAGGTTAATCTATGTGCCAGCATAAGCAGCAGTTGTACGGACATATCTCGCATCATGCTTTACATTACAACAAAACAATTATTTGCCGTATGGAAATCATTTTTCTATAATATAATCTACACATTCAGAAAATTACCCCACTGTGTGTGTAAATGTGTGACAATAAATATATGTGTTATGTCACCATTGTGGTTATATGGACAAAGACATCCTGAGATAACCTGGATTGTCGTTATTACTTCAATCCTTTAATACAGCGGTCTTTTTAGATTTGATTTTTGCTAGTTAGAGCTCAGTCACTCACAAACAAGCAATGTCTATAATAGATTTGTATGTGATTATTTAAGCTTACACTATATCATTGCATGAGTGAAGTAATATCTATATTATATAGTTACGTGTCAGAATTTATTACATGATTCATACATCTTGTCATAAAACGAACATACAAGTAACGTGTCTTTGAAATGTGATTTATCTGTAATTGTGTAACAGACTATAACGTACGTGTGTCAACGTGTGTTAGTGTGTGCTTACTCTTGTGCATACTGTATGTGTGCTTTTTATGTAAGTGTGTGGGTACGTGTGAATGCGTGTTCCCTTCTTTCAATATTTCTAGAATTATAATATTTTTCTCTCTATTTCTGTAACACTTCCTCATTGTTGAAAGTATAGAAATAATGATAAATATCGAAAACGATTTTATAAAACGTAATGATAACTTTGGTTTTGTGTTATGTGCTGGAGTTTTCACCGAAACGATACCCGATACATCTGTTAACGGAAACACTAACACTCTTCAAATTATTTGTTTAAAAGGAATTAGTCCATGGACGATGCGTGAGGCAGAATGTCAATCATCAACTGTAATCGATAAATCGATATATTGAGTCAGTCACTGACTACACTGACACATCACCTGATAAACAGGGAGTCAGTCACTGACTACACTGACACATCACCTGATAAACAGGGAGTCAGTCACTGACTACACTGACACATCACCTGATAAACATGGAGTCAGTCACTGACTACAGACACATCACCTGATAAACATGGAGTCAGTCACTGACTACACTGACACATCACCTGATAAACATGGAGTCAGTCACTGACTACACTGACACATCACCTGATAAACATGGAGTCAGTCACTGACTACACTGACACATCACCTGATAAACATGGAGTCAGTCACTGACTACACTGACACATCACCTGATAAACATGGAGTCAGTCACTGACTACACTGACACATCACCTGATAAACATGGAGTCAGTCACTGACTACACTGACACATCACCTGATAAACATGGAGTCAGTCACTGACTACACTGACACATCACCTGATAAACATGGAGTCAGTCACTGACTACACTGACACATCACCTGATAAACATGGAGTCAGTCACTGACTACACTGACACGTCACCTGATAAACATGGAGTCAGTCACTGACTACACTTACACATCACCTGATAAACATGGAGTCAGTCACTGACTACACTGACACATCACCTGATAAACATGGAGTCAGTCACTGACTACACTGACACATCACCTGATAGACATGGAGTCAGTCACTGACTACACTGACACATCACCTGATAAACATGGAGTCAGTCACTGACTACACTGACACATCATGATAAACATGGAGTCAGTCACTGACTACACTGACACATCACCTGATAAACATGGAGTAAACAGGGAGTCAGTCAGACTACACTTACACATCACCTGACTACACTGACACATCACCTGATAAACATGGAGTCAGTCACTGACTACACTGACACATCACCTGATAAACATGGAGTCAGTCACTGACTACACTGACACATCACCTGATAAACTGATAAACACTGACACATCACACAGTCACCTGATAAACATGGAGTCAGTCACTGACTACACTGACACATCACCTGATAAAAACACTGACTACACTGACAGTCACCTGATAAACAGGGAGTCAGTCACTGACTACACTGACACATCACCTGATAAACATGGAGTCAGTCACTGACTACACTGACACATCACCTGATAAACACTGGACACATCACCTGATAAACAGGGAGTCACTGACTACACTGACACATCACCTGATAAACAGGGAGTCAGTCACTGACTACACTGACACATCACCTGATAAACAGGGAGTCAGTCATTGTCTACACTGACACATCACCTGATAAACATGGAGTCAGTCACTGACTACACTGACACATCTGATAAACAGTCAGTCAGTACAACACATCACCTGATAAACAGGGAGTCAGTCACTGACTACACTGACACATCACCTGATAAACAGGGAGTCAGTCACTGACTACACTGACACATCACCTGATAAACAGGGAGTCAGTCACTGACTACACTGACACATCACCTGATAAACATGGAGTCAGTCACTGACTACACTTACACATCACCTGATAAACAGGGAGTCAGTCACTGACTACACTGACACATCACCTGATAAACAGGGAGTCAGTCACTGACTACACTGACACATCACCTGATAAACAGGGAGTCAGTCACTGACTACACTGACACATCACCTGATAAACATGGAGTCAGTCACTGACTACACTGACACATCACCTGATAAACAGGGAGTCAGTCACTGACTACACTGACACATCACCTGATAAACATGGAGTCAGTCACTGACTACACTGACACATCACCTGATAAACATGGAGTCAGTCACTGACTACACTGACACATCACCTGATAAACATGGAGTCAGTCACTGACTACACTTACACATCACCTGATAAACATGGAGTCAGTCATTGACTACACTGACACATCACCTGATAAACAGGGAGTCAGTCACTGACTACACTGACACATCACCTGATAAACATGGAGTCAGTCACTGACTACACTGACACATCACCTGATAAACATGGAGTCAGTCACTGACTACACTGACACATCACCTGATAAACATGGAGTCAGTCACTGACTACACTGACACATCACCTGATAAACAGGGAGTCAGTCACTGACTACACTGACACATCACCTGATAAACAGGGAGTCAGTCACTGACTACACTGACACATCACCTGATAAACAGGGAGTCAGTCAGTGACTACACTGACACATCACCTGATAAACAGGGAGTCAGTCACTGACTACACTGACACATCACCTGATAAACATGGAGTCAGTCACTGACTACACTGACACATCACCTGATAAACATGGAGTCAGTCACTGACTACACTGACACATCACCTGATAAACATCGAGTCATTCACTTAATACACTTACACATCACATGATAAACCTTGAGTCAGTCACTGACTACACTGACACATCACCTGATAAACAGTCAGGAGTCAGTCACCTGATGACTACACTGACACATCACCTGATAAACAGGGAGTCAGTCACTGACTACACTGACACATCACCTGATAAACAGGGAGACACATCACCTGATCAGTCACTGACTACACTGACACATCACCTGATAAACAGGGAGTCAGTCACCTGATAAACAGGGAGTCAGTCACTGACTACACTGACACATCACCTGATAAACAGGGAGTCAGTCACTGACTACACTTACACATCACCT